TCCACAGTTTTCCTTAACACAGGAGCAATATTTTCAACTGATGTCACTGTTCAAATCACAATTGCATCCAGCTTCCACCAGTCATACTGGCATTCCCTCCACTGATGGTATCTTGCCAACAGTGTCTAGTATTTCCCTTGGTTTATCTGCATATAATACTAAATGTCATAATATTTATGCTATTCCTTGGATATTAGATACAGGGGCAACAAATCATATGATCTATTCCACCTCCCTTTTTACCTCAAATCCTGTACCTGTCACAAGTTCAGTAACTCTGCCAAATGGAGAAATGGTTTCAGTTAGTCACATTGGCACCGTTAAATTCACAGATTCTATCATCCTTAAAAATGTTTTATGTGTTCCTTCTTTTTCTTTTAATCTCATTTCAGCTAGGAAGATGACACATAATTTAAAATGTTGCCTGATTTTCCTCTCTGAAACTTGCTTCATTCAGGACCTTGTGACTTGGACAACAACTGGAATAGGTGAGGTGCAGCATGGACTGTATCATTTACTGCAAAAGAAAGTATCCCCTTCAGCCTTGATAGACATCCTTACCCTCTTACTGCTAAACTACCTGTTGCTGCTTCAGTTGTTAATCATTCCAATGAATTTGATCTGTGGCATTATAGATTAGGTCACTCATCATATCCCAACTTTCATTTACCTGGACACACTTCCAGTTCAAAATCTGCTATGAATAAGAAACCATGTTTAGTTTTTCCTTTAGCGAAGTTACACAAAATTCCTTTTCCTTCTAGTCAACACAAATCACAAAAGTGTTTTGATGTTGTACATTGTGATTTATGGGGACCATTCAATGAAGTTAGCCATGATAATTCAAGATATTTTCTGACTATTATTGATGATTATAGCCGATGTACTTGGGTTTATCTTTTGAAACACAAATCTGGTACCTCAAATGCCATTCACAGTTTTTACAACATGATAGAAACACAATTTAACACCAAAATCAAAATAATTCGTAGTGATAATGGTGTTGAATTTAACATGATAGAATTTTACTCAACAAAAGGCATCATACATCAAATATCTTGCGTAGAAACTCCAGAACAAAATGCCATTGTTGAAAGAAAGTATCAACATATTCTAAATGTTGCTAGAGCTCTCAGATTTCAGAGTGGAATTCCATTAAAATTTTGGAATGATTGTGTCCTCACAGCTGTCTATCTTATAAATAGAACTCCTTCTCCTCTCCTTAATCACAAAACACCATTTGAATTATTGTTTAAAACTCAACCTTCATACTCCCATCTTCGAGTTTTTGGATGCTTGGCTTTCGCCACCACTCTTGTTCATGGCAGGCACAAATTTGATCCCAGGGCACATCGGTGTGTTTTTCTTGGATATCTCTTTGGAATCAAAGGGTACAAACTCTTTGACTTAGAAACCAACAAGTTTTTCATATCTCGAAATGTCGTTTTCCATGAAAATATTTTTCCCTACAAAGAACCTTCTACCACTACATCAAATCCTCCTCCAATCATTTCTCAACCTGCCTTCAAATTTACAAATTCTAGCAACACGCATACTGATGAAAACACAGATGCACCAGCTCTTCTACCTTCTAATAACATCATAGCAAAAGACCATAAATCACATTCATTATGCCAAGAAATTTCCTCATCTGAGAATGCTACTTTACCAGCCATAGAACCACAACATACATCTAAACCACTTGGTCTACGCAGATCCACCAAAGTCAAAAGATTACCTACTCATTTGTAGGAATTTGTCTGTCAACAGGCTAGCTCACCTCCTCATTCCCAGGACTTGACCAAGCAGCAGGTAACAACCTCTCCAGGTAAAGCTTTTCCTTTAGAAGCTACTATTTCCTACCATAAACTTTCACCTACACAAAGCTTTCAAAGTTGCCATCACTGCACATACAGAGCCTAAAACCTTCGAAAAAGCCATACAATCATCTGAATGGTGTAGTGCTATGAAAGCTGAAATTGATGCTCTTGAGTTAAATAAAACTTGGGAAATTGTTGACTTGCCACCTGGTAAGGATGTTGTAGGGTGTAAATGGGTATATAGAATCAAATTCCATGCCGATGGAACCATTGAAAGATACAAAGCCAGATTAGTGGCAAAGGGATATACACAACAGGAAGGTTTAGATTACCATGAGACATTCTCACCTGTTGCTAAACTTGTGACAGTTCGAACCTTATTTGCAATTGCAGCCATTAAAGGTTGGCATTTATGCCAATTTGATGTCAGTAACGCATTTCTACATGGGGACTTGGATGGGGAAGTATATATGCAATTACCACCAGGCTATCCGACTATTATCAGCTCAAGTAATGGCAGAAAAGTTTGCAAGTTACACAAAAGCTTGTATGGTCTTAAACAAGCTTCACGTCAATGGTACTCTAAGCTCTCAAGTTTCATCATAGACCAAGGTTTTACACAGTCTAAAGCTGATTATAGCTTATTCACAAAATCTACTTCACATTCTTTCACAGCCATAATTGTCTATGTAGATTATATAATTGTTGCTAGCAATTGCTTGGACATCACCAACAGTTTAAAATCCTCTTTTCATGATAAGTTCAAAATTAAAGACCTTGGAAAGTTAAAGTATTTTCTTGGCCTTGAAGTGGCCAGATCTAATCGTGGTATTCACATTTGCCATCGAAAATATGCATTAGATATCCTGACAGATTCTGGTAAAATTGGAGCCACACCAACCAAAATCCCATTAGACCAAAATCTGAAATTATCCAAAAGTCATGGCGAAATTCTTGCTGATCCCTCAATTTACAGAAGATTGATTGGGAGATTACTCTATTTAACAATTACTAGACCTGATCTTTCCTATCCAGTGCAACTGCTCAGCCAGTTTATGGACTCTCCTCGGATTCCCCATCTTAATGCAGCTCATAAGGTTCTTCGATACATTAAGCGTTCACCAGGGCAAGGCCTTTTCTATCCTTACAACTGGAAGGTTTTTGTGACTCTGATTGGGAGGCATGTCCTGATACGAGGCGATCAATCACAGGATACTATCTTTTCATAGGAAAATCCTTGGTATCTTAGAAGTCTAAGAAACAAGGAACAATCTCCAGATCCTTTGCTGAAACAGAATATAGAGCAATGGCAAATTTATGCAGTGAATTGACTTGGATACGATTTATGCTCCGAGACTTAAGGATTGAGCATCCTCAGTCAACTACTTTATATTGCGACAATAGAGCTACAATCTACATTGCATTAAATCTAGTCTTTCATGAGAGAACCAAGCACATTGAGCTTGATTGCCATCTCATTCGGGACAAAATTCAAGAAGGGAACATAACCACCAAGCATGTCAACAGTGAGTCACAAGTAGCAGATTTATTAACCAAGGCTCTATGCTCTCCTAGTTTGTACTCTCATTTGTTCAAGATGGGAGTATTAGATATATACTCTCCATCTTGCAGGGGGCTATTGAATTCAGGAAGATAAAGAAGCATTGGTGGCAACTCTAGCTCGGTCACAACAGACCCCAGCTGGATGGACGTTGGATTCAGCTTCTAGATGAAGAAGGCTCTAGAAGAAAATGCACATGCTGAAGTTCGTTTTTCAGTTATTTTGTACAGCTATTATTTGGCAACTTGTATAGAATTAGTTGGATTAGATTCTTTCCTTGCTTATATATAGCTGAGCTATTGTACTTATAAAACGTGAGAAATGAATGAATACAAATTGATATTCTTCTCCAAATAACTCTGTTCATTATATATGTTTTTCTAATATTTTTTTTCCTGAATTCAATAATAAGTGGCTATATTCCTACATCCTTTGCAACTTCTCGTCTACTTTCATAAGTTACCATAGTTTGATTTTGGTGATTTGCAAATATGATTGCCATTTCTTGTTCATTCTTATTTGCATACAAATAATTTCTTGACGACATTTGTAAATGATATCCTAGAAAGAGGTCAATTAGAAATATATATTGTTCAATTTAGGACATCCGATGCACAAGTTTTCATACTTAAAAATAGAAGGTACCAACTTTTCGGATCTTTTGAGCGGATGAACTTGTGCATTAGATGCCCCAAGATGAACAACATATGTTTATAATGGATCTCTTTCTGGGATATCATATACAGATGTTGCCAAAAAATTATAAAAAATTTGTGTGCAAATAAGATGTACAAGAAATGGAAACCTATATTTGCAAATCACCAAAATAAAACTGTGAATTCTATTACTTGTGATTAGATGAGGAAATGGAGCTTCAAACTGCTTATCAACATGAAGCGTTTAAATGTTGTCCATTATTTTGCCACAGAGAGGCTGCTGTTTCTTTTGATGGAGAAAAAAGAAGTTATTTTCTCATAGCAGGTCGTGCAGCTATGGAAGTGTTTTTAATATACAAAACGAGCATCTTAAATTGTAGAAAGCATCGTACCTTATAAATCCTTCCTACCTGTTTCTTAAGCACACGATGCTTTGTACCTTTTAACACAAATGTAGCAATGAATTGAACAGAGTGGGGAAAAAAGAGATTCATGTCGCTAACCATTTATTAAAAATAAAGTATTACAAAGTATCTTAAAGTGTTTGTAATGCATGCTCTCGACTGGAAAAAATTATTTTCTTCTAATAAATTGTGATTAACTGATGAACAAATATGTAGAGTCAAGGCCGCTGCCAAATCAAAACTTCATTCAAATACATGTGATGGATTATTCATTCAGTGTTTCCGAAGCAGAAGCTCCATCAAAGGAGTACCTAAATAAAACATACCATCAATTACAACATTTAATCGTCATCCTGATATTTGATGGTTGGTTTGCCATCATAAAAAGTGGTTGGTTCAATGAGTGTACTTATCTCGGCAAAGGTTGGTAGAGAGTACTGTTGGTTGAATCCGAAAATCAGAATGGTGCACTTGGAAGTATTGGCATGGGCTAATCGACAAACCGAAGATAGTCAAATCAACCTCCTGAGTTTTAAGAACAAATCTTGGAAAGAATGGACTAGCTCGGGACTTCAAGACTTTTTTTATTGTTCTTTTGGCTCTTGATCCTCATCGACTGAGAAAGCAGCAGATCATGTACTCTACGTTTTAACTGCAAGGCACCGGATAGCACATACTGTTGGTCAGAATTGAAACGTGAAATTTTAGGGGACAATTTAATCACAGGTTATGCTTAATAAGAAGAAAACATCAATGCGCATCAAGTTCTTGATGGAAAAAAAATTCCAAATGAAGTTAAATTTTCCCTTGCAGAAACTAACTTGAGGAACTAGTATATGCTAAATCCTTTCTGGTTTCTACATCCTAATTACTAGATCCTAGTTTATATGGTCATTTTCAGGTGCTCTTGGATTTAAAACTAGGGCCCTGGGATCGCCAATGATATCAATAATGACACTTTCGTCTGAATTCTTAAAGGTAGAAAGATGAACAAAAAAATGCTGTCAACGAATTTCTATTTTATCTCAAGGCAGGTATTTCATATCGTGCTTTATATTGCTACTAATAAATAAAGAACAAGATAGTTTAGAGCTAATTTGTAGAAAATCTACAAAACCAGAACTAACACTTGGTGTATACATGCATAATTCAGACTAAAGAGGCCAGAAATCCTTGGGGTTTTCCTAACACATAAAATACCAGACTTGACTCAAATTCGCAGTTAGTATCTTCTAAGAGATGCCTTGCAAGAATCCACTTGCATCAGTTAAGCAATCCCGTATTGGTAATTTATTGGATACTCCAACTAGAGCCAAGTGGTTTGGGTTGGATGCTTGGATGCAGTATAAGAGCAAATTGTTCTTGAATGCATGTGCAATTGCATACTTGGTTCTTCATGGTACACTAATTCAAACTCATCAATACTAACTTCACTCTTAACTGATACACGTAAAGCTCATCAATACTAACTTCACTCTTAACTGATACACGTAAAGTGTGTTCAAGAAGAAATTGAAGCCAAGAGACAAACCTCATCAATACTAACTTCACTCTTAACTGATACACGTAAAGCTCCATCAGGTCCCACCTCACGATACTTCGCCAGCTCCAGATGATTGACATTACCATCTTCCGTGATGAAGACAACAGGAGACTCTTGAAGCAGATCACATTTAGAGACAACATCAAGCCAAAGATGATCGGGGAATCTCTCCCGTATTTCCTTGTAAATGACAAACTGCATAACCCACAATCACACTCAACAGTAGCTTAAGAAAAATATGGTAGAAAATATTGAAGTACATAACGTATTAGAAGAGTGAGAATCATTAGAATGGAAGTTATGAAATACCCTTAGACAAGCTTCTATGGTTGCATGTAAAAACAAAAAAAAAAAACAAAACCAGCGTTTTCCATTCAGAAAGGAACATAAAGCATATAATACCTGATCAGAAGGTGAAGTCCCACATTCTCCAGATAGATCGTGGACATAAAGTACAGCAGTTGGCAAATGAGAGAGGACAGCAAGTGTCAACTTTTCTAAGTTATTCCTATCCTCTGTACTTACACACCAGAAAAAAGGTCATGCAACCAAACAAGAAACAAGCGCAGATGTCTAAACAGTAATAAACTCAACATGCCTTTGTTTAGAAAGAATTCAAGAATTACCTTTATTTATAATATTTTATCTTTCACATTAGCTTTTTATGACTAGGCCACTCCAAAAATTTAAGAAATTTCCAAAATTTATTGTCCTATAATCTGAAAACTAAAAATTATAAAACTAGAAATATTAAAGGCAGTGCAAGAAATTCAGATACATAGAGCATGTTTGGCAAAAAAAATTGCTATCTTATAAGTTGGGTACCCACAGATTGTGGAGACCAAAATTCACACAACCGTGGATCCTGCAGCTTATAAGCCAGATATGTTGAAATATTTTGGTCCACACAATTTGTGGTTCCCTAACTTATAAGATAGCAGCTTTTGTTGCCAAAAATGCTCATAAAGTGACTATTTGAGGAGGTGAAGATTCTATTCCAGCAACTTCATATATTTATAGGAATTTATATTGCATCATTATCAAGAAAGCGTTGCTAACAGAGGACTGCCCCAATTTTGCTTTGTCCCCTTCCCTTCAAATCCACCAACTTCAGAACGCAAACAATTTCTACAGTTTTTCTCTTGTTTCTCTTCTTTCAGTCATCAGTTTGCTCCTTAAAGATTTCTCTTAATACTCTACCAGGGTAAAAAACAAGACTAACATATAACATACCAAACCAGAAAACTGTAATCTTATAGGAACAACAGACTAAGCCTAATTTCCTATAAATTTGGGTTCAACTACATGAATTCTTTGGGTCTACCCTCTTCGCCTGTCTCAGGACATGTTGATTTTGTCTATTGGTCTACTCTCTCCGCCTGTTCTCTTGGGATCAAATTCCTCCTATAAATCGAAAGCTTTGTCAGGTGTATGCAAGACACTCACAACCACCTATACCGTCCTTCCTTTAACTTTGTCCTCAATTTGTGTAACCTCGACCTTTAGGCATACAAGTCTCATTCATCTTAAAGTCATCATTTCAAATATGAAAGAAAATGAAAGAAGTTTGCCCATGCCAAAATAAGTTAAATAGTCTACTATCTTTCAAAGTAGCCTACTAGATTTCCCCGGATAATCCATTATTACACTGTATCTGGGGAGTGATTATGAAGGTGAAGATCAGATATCAAAACTAGTCAATAAACTTAACTGTCAGATGCTAGATTGGCCAACTTACAGGAGGGGCTCTGTAGGAAATAAAATAATGCTACATTGCGACTTTGACGAGCACAATAAGTTTTACTTCGTATGATCACAGAAATTTTTATATAATAGACCCAAAACCAATCCTTGATTGATCTGACACGTTGAGTTATGGGCATGGCAACAGCTTCAGCAATATGCACAAAAGCAAAGACTGCATCCATTAAGTCAAGTCATATGGAAGATGAGAAATAAAATGAGTAACCTCTTACCATCATGTCTCCTTAAGAGACCAGGTGTATCTGTCACCTAAAACCAAATCATAGAGTAAACATTGTGACACAAAAGAGACATTGACATATAAAAATTCTGTCTAAAACAAAAATATGAACCTGAAAATTTTGGTAGCTCAAAGTTATATGACCCATCAGAATCCCTTTAGTTGTGAAAGGATAATTGCAGACCTGAGACGCATTGCAATGGCAAGAATGGTAATTATTGAATCGGTGGCTTTGCTATGAAATAAATGTGTATTTATCATCAAATCAAATTAAATTAGCAGAAAACTGTAATTTGTGAAGAACAAAGAACTGGAGGCTAGAAGTTAAGAAAAAGCAAATAATATAAAGTATTTTCAGAGCACAGATGATATAACTACCCATTAATTTTAGTTCTAGAAATAAACGCATAAAGTTAGTGTTGAAATGAAAGATTAGGTAGTGATATTACCGAATACTAGGAGATTTGATAGCTGTAAATATTTGCTGTTAATAGAATATCAGTCAATCCTATAAAATAGTAGGAAATTAGTTAGGCCAACTAGCTATTGTAATCTTTTTCCTGATTTCTTGCTTGTATTTTCTCCTATAAAGATAACCTCTGTAATTCTATGATTAAGTAGAGCTAATATAGAAAAATTAATTATATATTTTCTCATCTCTTTAAAGTTTACATGGTATCAGAGACACCCTAAAAAATCAATTTCTTTTCTGCAGATTTTTTTTACTGTTCAGCCATGTCTAACATTTCATCTGAGTCGACCCCATCTCTCAAAACCCAAGCCCCCAATACCGATTCTCGCTCTGTCCAAATCACCACTATTCACCTTAATGGTGATAATTATTTAAGATGGTCTCAATCCGTTCGAATGTACATCAGAGGGCGGGGAAAAATTGGGTACCTAACTAAAGACAAGAAGGCACCAGCACCAGAGGATGCAACTTACGTGACCTAGGATACAGAAAATTCAATGCTAATGAATTGGCTCGTGAACTCTATGGATGAAGATATTAGCTCCAACTATATGTGCTACTCCACAGCCAAAGAACTCTCGGACAATGTGAATGAGATGTACTCTGATTTGGGAAATCAATCTCAGGTTTATGAATTGACTCTGAAACTTGGTGAGATTTGGCAGGGGGAAGACTCGGTCACCAAGTATTTCAATTCATTGAAGTGCCTTTGGCAAGACTTGGATCTGTTCAATGATTATGAATGGAAATCAACTGAAGATGCTAATCATAACAAAAAGACCATGGAGACTCATCGTATTTATAAATTCCTTGCTGGACTAAATGAGGAATTTGATGAAGTACAGGGACAGATCATTGGCAGGACTCCACTTCCTCCAATTGCTGAGGTGTTTGCTGAGGTTCGAAGAGAAGAGAGTCGCAGACATGTAATGTTGGGGAAAAAGACTACTAGCGGGCCAGTTGAGAGTTCTGCCCTTGTTATTGCCGAGGCTACTACTAATAAAACAGCCAATTTTTAGAGAAAACCTGAAGAGAAGCCAAGGGTTTGGTGCGATTACTGCAACAAACCACACCACACTCGAGAGTCCTGCTGGAAAATCCATGAAAAACCAGCAAATTGGAAGAGCAGCAAGCTGGGTGACAAAAATAGCCGAGCAATATCCACTGTTAATGAAGCTGAGACAAGTCCCTTTAGCAAGGAGCAGATGGATCACCTTCTGAAGCTACTGAAATCTAATTCCTCGTCTGGTATTCCTTGTGTTTCTCTTGCACAAATGGGTAGTGCACTTAATGCCATTTCTTGTTATTCAACTTCTGCTCCATGGATCATCGATTCTGGAGCCTTTGATCATATGACCAGCTTTTCCAATCTTTTTCACACTCATCATGTTCTGGCCTTGAAAAAAAATTAGAATTGAAGATGGTAGCTTCTCACCCATTGCAGGAAAAAGGTTCGATAAAATTATCCAAAAATATAGATCTTAAACCTGTCCTCCATGTCCCTAAACTAGCCTGTAATCTTTTGTCCGTTAGCAAACTAACCAAAGAATCTAATTGGAGTGTAATTTTTTGTTATTTTTACTGTGAATTTCAGGATTGGAACTCAGGGAAAAAGATTGGATTTGCTAAGATGATAGATGGACTTTACTACTTTGATGGTAGCTTCTCTGGAAATAAAATGGCTCAATGCCTTAGTAGTGTTAGGTCTAATTCTAATTTCTATTTATGAACAAAAAATGATTTGGCACTTGAGACTAGGACATCCTAGCTTTCCATATCTTAAACATTTGTTTCCTACTTTATTTAACGGTTTGGATTGTTCAACTTTCTATTGTGAAAGTTGTTGCTTATCTAAGAGTCATCGTACTACTTATCTACCAAGACCTTAATACTTCTTCAAAACCATTTTATTTAATACATAATGATGTTTGGGGACCCTCAAGGGTTACTACTCTCTCTAGAAAAAACTGGTTTGTTACCTTTATAAATGATCATACACGTTTGTGTAGGGTTTATTTAATGAATGGAAAGTCCGAGGTTTAAAAAATTTTCAAAGAATTTTACACGATGGTTGAAGTTCAACAAAAATTAGCATCCTTCACTCAAATAATGGAACAGAATATTTTAATAAAATTTTGGGAAGTTTTTTGGAGGAAAATGATATACATCATTAGTCTACTTGTGTGGATACCTCTCAACAAAACGGAATTGCTGAAAGAAAAAATAAGCATTTACTTGAAGTATCTCGGGCCATAATGTTTTGAATGAACGTTCCAAATTATCCTTGGTGGGATGATGTTTTAAGAGTCACTTATTTGATTAACAAAATGCCCACACATGTTTTAAAATATAGCACGCCATTAGAATGTTTAAAAAAAAATAAAAGAAAAAGAAAGAAAAAATTCCTTTATCTAAGATACAATCAAATTTTTACCTTTAAAGGCTTTTGGCTGCATTGTTTTTGTTTATATACCCGATAATACTTGTTCCAAACTTAATCCTCAGGCTTAAAAATGTGTTTTTATAGGGTATGCTTCTAATTAAAAAGGGATATAAGTGCTATAATCCCCAAACAAGAAAAATTTAAGTGACCATGGATGCCTCTTTGAAAATAAATCCTACTTTAACAAAAATTCTCTTCAGGAGGAGAATGAGGTAATGGAAGAAATTTTTTGGGATTTATCTCCTACTCCTTTACCAAATATGATTTTGAATACTTCACCTCATAATTCTCATTACACTCTTATTCCAGATGATCAAAGTCAAGAACAATGTGATAAAACCAATGAAAACAGTGATAGGTATCCTAGTATTCCTATAGTCATATAGTCCAAACATTTCTGTATCAGGGGAGAATCACTACAACTAGATAAAAAAAACCCAATATTGAGCCTCTGGTTTATAATCAGAGAAGACCTCATCAAAAAAGTCAAAGTCAACCTATTCCTCTTGGGAATGTTCAATCTCGACCTTAGGGAACTGAACCTACAAATATCACAGGTAGTTTTGTTCCTAACTCATATTCAATTCCTATTACTTCTCCTAGCCAAGAACTATTAAACCTTGATATTCCTATAGCTTTTAGGAAAGGAACCCGAACTTGTACCAAATATCTCATTGCCAAATACCTTTCTCATGAAAAAACTCTCCTACTTATAGGGCTTCTACCTCAAAAATCTCACACTTGTTTGTCCCAAGAAACATTCAGGAAGCTTTTAATGATCCAAATTGGAAATTAGCAGTGATGTAAGAGATGAATGCCCTTAGAAAAAAGTGGTACTTGGGAGATAGTTGATTTGTTTAAGGAAAAAAGAACAGTAGGCTGCAAGTGTGTCTTTACTGTGAAATGTAAAGTTGATGGTAGCATAGAGAGGTATAAGACAAGACTAGTAGCAAAAGGGTTCACGCAGACGTATATGATTGATTATCAGGAAACCTTTGCTCCAGTGGCCAAAATAAATTCGATTAGAATCTTGTTATCTTTGGCGGTAAACTTCGACTGGCCATTACATCAATTAGGTGTAAAACATGCCTTTTTAAATGGAGATCTTGATGAGGAGGTCTTTATGAGTCTACCACCTGGGTTTAAAGGAAAATTGGGACCAAACAAAGTCAGTAGACTGAAAAAAACCTTATACGGTCTCAAACAATCCCTAGAGCTTGGTTTGAGAGATTTGGGAGATCTGTGAAGAGTTGTGGCTACCATCAGAGCTAAGCTCATCATACCTTGTTCTACAAACATGGTAAAGAAGGCAAGGTTGCAATATTAATTGTCTATGTGGATGATATATAGCCTTGACGGGTGATGACAATGAAAAATTGGAGAGACTGAAAAAAAAGACTTGCAGCTAACTTTGAAATCAAGGATTTTGGTGAATCAAAATACTTTCTTTGGATGGAGTTTGCTAGATCCAAAGAATGTATTTTTTGAATCAACGTAAATATGTTCTTGATTTACTTGACGAGGCAGGTTTACTAGGATGTAAACCAGTTGAGACACCCATTGAGCCGAACCTTACACTTTAGCCTCTGAAGAAGTACAAAATAGAGAGCAATATCAGAGACTAGTTGGAAGACTAATATACTTGTCACATACACGTCTAGATATAGCATTTGATGTTGGCATGGTTAGCCAATTCATGCATGCACCTGGACAAGAAGACGTGGACATTTACAAGTTGAAGCCTATACTGATGCGGACGGGGCCGGAAGTACTCTTGATAGGCGATCAACTTCTGGCTACTGAACATTTGTTGGAGGCAATCTTGTCACCTAGCAGAGTAAAAAACAGAATGTGGTAGCTAGAAGTAACGCAGAGGCCAAGTTTAGATCAGTTGCTAATGGAATTTGTGAGGTGTTGTGGATTAAGAAACTATTGAAAGAGTTGAAGACCTCTAATCCATTGCCCATGAAATTGTACTGCGACAATAAGGCTGCTATCTCAATCGCTCACAATCCAGTACTTCATGATAGAACAAAGCACGTGAAGGTAGACAAACACTTCCTCAAGGAAAAGATTGAAAATGGATTGATATGTATGCCGTACATTCCTACCACCGAGCAAGTTGCAGATGTGCTTACAAAAGGACTTCCTACAAAACAGTTTGACATACTAATTGGCAAGCTGGCTATGGAAGACATCTTCAAACCAGATTGAGGGGGAGTGTTGAAATGAAAGATTAGGTAGTGATATTACCGAATATTAGGAGATTTGATAGCTGTAAATTTGCTGTTAATAGAATATTAGTCAATCCTGTAAAATAGGAAATTAGTTAGGCCAACTAGCTGTTGTAATCTTTTTCTTGATTTCTTGCTTGTATTTTCTACTATAAAGAGAACCCCTGTAATCCTATGATTAAGTAGAGTTAATAAAGAAAAATGAATTCTATATTTTCTCATCTCTTTCAAGTTTACAGTTAGTAACTGAAACAGAGTGTTATATCCAGTAAACATGACTGGCAAATGCCCTTGCAAGGATAATCTAGCATATGCAATGGCACCTTTTTCTCCAGTTAATTAACATAGAAAAGAAAAATGACTTCACTGCACAACACAGTCAGATCCTTGTTTCTTATTCTTGAGATAAAATGGCTTTTAATTTTCTAGATTTCTCTGAAATGTCATTTTCTACGATTTTTGTAAAATCCTGAGTATTAGTTATTCCCAAGTGTTTCAAATTGCCACTTTTCACTGAAGAAATAGAAAAAATATAACCTAAAAATTGTATGACATTAAGTGTTAATATTTGGTTTAAGGGAAAATTGGGACCAAACAAAGTCTGTAGACTAAAAAAATCCATCTACGGTCTCAAACAATCCCTAGAGCTTGGTTTGAGAGATTTGGGAGAGCTGTGAAGAGTTGTGGCTACCATCAGAGCTAAGCTTATCATACCTTGTTCTACAAACATGGTAAAGAAGGGAAGGTTGCAATATTAATTGTCTATGTTAATGATATATAGCCTTGACAGGTGATGACAATGAAGAATTGGAGAGACTAAAAAAAAAAAGACTTGCAGCTAACTTTGAAATCAAGGATTTTGGTGCATTAAAATACTTTCTTTGGATGGAGTTTGCTAGATCCAAAGAATGTATTTTTTGAATCAACGTAAATATATTCTTGATTTACTTGATGAGACAAGTTTACTAGAATGTAAACCAGCTGAGACACCCATTGAGCCGAACCTTAAACTTCAGCCTCTAAAGAAGTACAAAATAGAGAGCAATATCAGAGACTAGTTAGAAGACTAATATACTTGTCACGTACACGTCCAGATATAGCATTTGATGTTAGCATGGTTAGCCAATTCATGCATGCACCTGGACAAGAACACTTTCAAAAACCGTGGACATTTACAAGTTGAAGCCTATACTGATGCGGACGGGGCCGGAAGTACTCTTGATAGGCAATCAACTTCTGGCTACTGCACATTTGTTGGAAGCAATCTTGTCACCTAGCGGAGTAAAAATTAGAATGTGGTAGCTAGAAGTAGCGCAGATGCCGAGTTTAGATCAGTTGCTAATGGAATTTGTGAGTTGTTGTGGATTAAGAGACTATTGGAAGAGTTGAAGACCTCTAATCCATTGCCCATGAAAGTGTACTGTGACAATAAAGCTGCTATCTCAATCGCTCACAATCCAGTACTTCATGATAGAACAAAGCACGTGAAGGTGGACAAATACTTCCTCAAGGAAAAGATCGAAATTGGATTGATATGTATGCCGTACATTCCTACCACCGAGCAAGTTGCAGATGTGCTTACAAAAGGACTTCCTACAAAACAGTTTGACATACTAATTGGCAAGCTAGCTATGGAAGATATCTTCAAACCAAATTGAGGGGGAGTGTTGAAATGAAAGATTAGGTAGTGATATTACCGAATATTAGGAGATTTGATAGCTGTAAATATTTGCTGTTAATAGAATATTAGCAATCCTGTAAAATAGGAAATTAGTTAGGCCAACTAGCTGTTGTAATCTTTTTCTTGATTTCTTGCTTGTATTTTCTCCTATAAAGAGAACCCCTGTAATCCTATGATTAAGTAGAGTTAATAAAGAAAAATTAATTCTATATTTTCTCATCTCTTTCAAGTTTTCGGTTAGTAACTGAAACAGAGTGTAATATCTAGTAAACATGATTGGCAAATGCCCTTGCAAGGATAATCTAGCATATGCGATGGCAACTTTTTCTCCAGTTAATTAACATAGAAAAGAAAAATCACTTCACTGCACAACACAGTCAGATCCTTGTTTCTTATTCTTGAGATAAAATGGCTTTAAATTTTCTAGATTTCTCTGAAATGTCATTTTCTACGATTTTTGTAAAATCCTGAGTATTAGTTATTCCCAAGTGTTTCAAATTGCCACTTTTCACTGAAGAAATAGAAAAAATATAACCTAAAACTTGTATGACATTAAGTGTTAATATTGCAACAACATTAACAAATTCACTCCAACTGAATTATTCAAATAACACATTTCCATCTTGTGTCAAATTATATATTCCATGATTTTATTCTTTAGTGTTGGTCTCATATGCGGTGGGATCAAAGATGTAATGTCATGAACCCAGCGCGTAGAGGTGACTAATACATTTCAAACCCATGCCAGATTGCAACACCATAGATTTCTCAATGATCAAATACAGAATAGCTTGCACAATTCCATCTCAAGCAAGAGATAAGTGTTGGCAGCAGTTGGATTGAAATGAGATTCTCAAAAGCAATATAAATCCATGATTCTGAGTCAAGTGACGTAAATGACATCTGATCTCCTAGCACATACCTCAGGCTTCCCTGTTGACAGTAGACGGACCAAAGATGACTTTCCTACATTAGGAGCTCCAACTAGACACAGTGTCGGCGTTTCCAGATCAACCACTGGCATTGCCCGCAAAGTCTGCAATGCCATTACCAAACATGATTTGGAAATGATTACAAGCATTTTCTATCTTATTCTTAAACTGAGACCAATTGGATACACAGCATTAGCATTTATCATTTTCCAATGAAAACAATAAATTAAATTGCTTTTATACCAATATATTACAATAAATAAAATAAACCTGAATACGAATAAAACATATTAAAAATAAAGAAAGCAATGCATGGTAAAGAATGTCATGACCATTCACAACATGAGCACAAAAGCCGCAACCCCGGCCCGCAAACACAAAATAAAAATTAAAAATAAAAAAATGCAATAAATTTAAAAGAAATTTAAATGAGAAAAGGGTAATAGGATGCCTCAGAAAATCAAGTACCTGAAAAAATGGAAGGAACAAAAGATCCTATTACTGTGCATTGTGCAATAGTAAAGCATTTTAACAAGATGTGTNAAGTCTGAAAAAATTAAAAAGATTAGGAACTACTACTACAATTTTCCCTAAAATTTATTAATTTCGAAGTTAAGAAACAATCTTATATTAATATTATGCCCTTGTTTGATCCCATTATTTTCAAAATACATTTTTTTCTATCTTCTTTTCAACAACACATTCTTTAATAAAATAATATTACACGTAAAATTAAAATTTTTTCTTATTTTTTAACCACACATTTTTCATCGATCTACCATTCAAAAATGCATTCTTTGCCAAATAATGGGGTTCAAACAATGGCTATATATGAAAATATATATTTAGAAAGAGTAATGTTATTTAGCATCATTGGTATTTATGTGACACTAATGTGGTATTAAATGTGAGGTATAATTAAATGACTCACTTAATCGCACATTTCATTGTGATTATCACATCATGCTACCTAAACTAGTATTGTAACATCACTGGATGTTGTAACGTTCCATATTTTCATAAACTTTAGAGTATGTTACCAAAAATTCACATTTCTTTACGTGTTAAATGCGGAACAATAAAATAACTAGAATATCTATAAATTTAAACCAAACCTGAAAATTTTATCTTTAAAAAATAACATAATCACCAAACTAATTAAATAACATGTCATTTAACGAATTAAACTAACTGATAAAATGAAAGAGAGAGAAATTTAATTTTTTTTTTTTTCAAATCCTCTTGACAACCGGCATCACCATCCTGCCAAAAATCCATCTGACCCGAACTAACATGTAAAATTGTTGTAAGAGTGAGTATTTAAAATACCCAATAAGATGCGTGCAGTTTTCATAGACAATTATATAAAAATAAAATAGATACTTCATACCACATTTATTATGGAGTATATAGATGATCAAACAAGAGACCCATTAGTAGTATTTTGAATTCCCGAATTATTTCACATTTCGTTATAAAGAACTCAAAAGAGTTCAAATTTCGTTAGATCGAACTTGAAGGTTCACAATGATTCATACATAAATTACTGGACACATAAAAGTATGCGGAAACAAATCACTTACACATAAGTATCTTATCTCGATAAATAAAATGAATTTTTGAACGAAATATGAATGCACATTCCAATTTTTTTTCTCAAAATCTTTGCTTCGATGAATATGGGTAAGCGTATGCTTCGAAAATAATTTTTTAATGGGTGCAAATTGGCTATTTTCTGATTTCAAAATAAACAAATGGGACGGTTTCTTTGAAATATTTCTATTTCCTTTAGATAAAAGCTTTTCGAAATTTTTCGTAAGTGCGTGCTAGGGAACCCGTGCCCATATATAGATTTAGGGCATGTTTGGTATGGCTCAAAATCCAATTAAAATTGAAAATATAGTTGTTATTGGGTCCCACTCATCTAATAAAAGTCAACAATAACGGCTAACTTTTCAATGTTAATCTGATTTTAGTCTCTATCGAACACACCCATAATTCTTTTTCTTTTCTTTTCTTTTCTTTTTTTTTTATTCCTTTTCTATACAAATAAGATTTTGATACAGCCATTCACAGTTTCCAGCAAGGAGAATGAATAATTGCTAACTAAAACTATTTGCAACCTTAGCACAGAGCGAGGCATGTTCTTTTCCAACTGAAACCACCTTCTTCCGTAGAGCATCAACCTGTCCCAACACCTGTGAAACATAAAGAAGTATAATAATAAAACTAAAGCATAAAAAGGAATAGACAATTTTTGACATGCAACGGTTGTTTAATATACAAAGAACTCCTGTAATAGGAACATCTCAACATAGTGTGAAGTTGACAGCAAGCACACTCATCAATCCAACTCAAAGAGAAACATAGGTTGAATATTCTCATGTGCAAGAGGTGAAGAAAAGAAAGAAAAAATGGTAGTAACGACTCGAAAGAAAAGAAAAAAAGCCATATTATTATTCATCCAAGATGAATCTAGGACTCAACAGGAACAAAAATGTTAGACTTGAAATGTACCTCCTCATAGTTTCCTTCTCCAAAAGTCAACTCAATCAGAGATCGTTCATATGGATGTAGATTTCTTTTGTCCGGGAAGCTTTCCTTGTACGTCCTTAATGGAATGGCAAGTTCCTAAAGATGACAACAAGTGGCCAAGATACAAAAGTAAATTCTTGTTTCACATGAGATGAGCAGTATTGTTAATTATTATATGTATGCCCTCATGAACATCGTTATGTCTAAAAATTACCTTCATTAATGCATCAAGTTGTTTGGCACCTCTATTTCTTTCGCGCTTTGCCTTGTTAGCAATACCTATGAACCATTTAAACTAAATAACATAATTCATTCCATGATCCAAGTTCTAATCCAATTCCAATGAGGAGGTTTGTAAAAAAGGAAAAATCTTGAAAATCAAATACCTTTTGTGGGTGGGATCCTCTTTGCCTTCCTCAGCGAAGAATATAAGATATCGAATGATGGCATCACCATTGGAAGTTTCTGAAATGCACCGATAGCTTTGATTGGAGCTATTGCTTTTTCCTGGAAGAAAGGTAACGAATCACAATTAATGCCTGTTCATAATACTAACGATTTTTCCATTAGAAGTAAGGGAGATATTAACAACCTGAATCAAAACAAGATTTCAATAATAAAAAAAGCAAGAGCACAAGTAATTTCATGATAATCCATTTTCGTCTTCAAAGAAGGGACCATTATTGGCCCAACCCAATCACACTACTAATTGGCCCAATCTTCATGTTCTGCGAACCTAGCTCACAAACATTGTCCCACATTCATCACCCAAATTGTACAAGCAACCACCTCGTGCCGATCAACCACACTTCCACTAGCTACTTTATATGTCAACCACAGTAGGATTTCTCCGGCAATTCCTTTGCCAAGCAGGGTCCACCCTCCTCATAGTACCAAGCTCTGATTGCAAATAGATGCTTTTACCAGCATTAATTTGAAGGGGAATATCAATGAGATCAAAAGAGATCGCTAACAGAGATAGCGGAGATTGACGAAGATCACGAAGATTGACCGATATTATGACTTTACATAATTATATATATAATTGTATTTACCATATTTAGGTTGATTACATCTATTATATTTAAATTGATATTATTCATATATAATGTAAGAAATTCTAATGGAAGAATCATTCAGTCAAAAGTTTGTCATGGTATCAGAGCATGGTAAACTTTTCCCGAATTCTCAATTTTCTTTGATCATAACTCAGCCTCTTAGGTGTGGGTTTCTTGTGGTTGTCCACGGTTGACATAATTTTTTGTGAACATGTGACTGTTTGGTGCATTGAGAGGATCATCTTTGAGTTTTTGGTGTACGATGTTCGGTAGAATTTCTTCCAACGGCAACATCTTGACTAGTGATATATTGCTGAATTTTTGGTCGGTGCATTGGTCGTTAGAGCTTTTATCGGAACACGAATTATGTGTTCGACCGAGTTCTCCCGATTGATAGAACTCATTATATTGGTCGACACACTTCTTGAATTTCTTTTGAAAATTCTTCTTAGGGTGTGAGCTCTCTGGAGTGACTTTGGAGTGTTCTTGGAGTGGTTTTGAAGTGATTCTTGGTTGTTTATGTAATATTTATTGTTCTTGGGTCTCTCGTCATCACTATGTAATTTAGGTCTCTTCTTTGTGAGCAGTCAATGTCGCCAATTCATGATTACAAATTGATGCTTTTATCGACCAGCATCAATTTGAGGGGGATGTTAATGAGGTCAAATAAGATTACAGAGATCATTGAAGATTACAATTTAACGTCTACATTACCACTATAATTGTACCATATATAGATAGATTATTTTTACCATATTTAAATTATAGGTTACCATTAGTTAATAATGTAATTGATTGCTACCATATTTAGTTGTGATTTTGATTCTATACAATGAGAGAACCTCCTATATTAAGGGGGCATCGAGTTTTATTCAGTATGTTTGAGCATATTTGACATGCCTTACCGAAGCTCAATCTAAGTCATTAACCTGTAAAATGTATAGTACCAAACAAAGTGAAGAAGGATATTGCGTGCATAATCTAGATAACATATATCAGATAACAAAAAAAAAACTAATATCAACAAAATTTTAACCTCTAGAAACCTCAGGAAACCAGAACGAATAATCAAAATCATTTATTTACCATGACATCCAAAGATGAACTTCGTAAAAGTAGATTAGGCCAATCCAATTTTATGAAAAAACTAACAAATCCAGTGTGAAAATCAATAGTAATGTACGACTACATGAACTACGTCTATGAAACTCATGAGCGGTGCTATTAAATAAATTAAAGCAGCCCACAAAATAAAAAATCTAATGTTCCTAGAAGACCCAGAAATAGTTCTTGAAAGAACGAACAAAATACCTTTACTTCTCTTGTTTGTTTGGTTACTACAGTTGTAATATAGCCTCCATGCACATTTTCATAGACAGTGGTTTGCATTTGCTTGCAGAAGCAGAAAGTTGGGTATATAATCTTTTTGGGCACAGAAATTAAACCTACATAGTTGCGGGAAATATGTTAATTAAAACGAAAAGGATAAGAAAAAAGGAAAAATCAAGGAAACAAGTGAAAAAAATTGAATTGTACCTTCATAGAAAATTGAGCGCCTTAACAGTATAGATGATGATGGCTTTTGCCACACCTGTAATAGACTCGAGCTTCTGTTCATTCTCTCCTTCACACGTACAGACAGAGACCAGACACGAGTGTGAATGTTAACAAGGCTGGGAGGAATTCATTTAATTGAGGATTGATTAAAGAAATAGGGGAATCTAAAGGGACTCGGCATGAAAATAATTTGTTTTTTATTATTTTAATTTATTTCTTACTTGGCCCAAATCACCAGTTAACCTATATGATACTGGCACCCATTATTTTTTTAAAAAATTTTCTCTTACTTAATTATAATTACTCCAAATAAAATAAAATTACACACAAATCTAAAACTTTTCATTACTTTTCAACCACACATTATTCCATCAATCACTATTCCAAAATTTATAATACACTCAAAATGGGTGCCAAACACAAGCTATATATACTTGGGTCTTTTGACACCTTGTGAGACATACATGCAGGGGCGAAGTCAGGAAAATAACTCAGTGCGGGCACAATTTATCGATGTTGAACGTCAAATTTTTGGTTATAGATTTAATGATGATAAAAATATAAAACAATATTACGACAATACAAAAAATGACATAATTTATAAATTATAATTGTTCCTTACGAGTTTTCATACTTTGATATTGTTATACAATAACTTCATTATCGAGCTTTTGAACATCAGGTGATATCAATTTGCAATTTTGAGGAACATTTTCCAATGTCTCGACATTAATATGTTCATTACGAGCAGCAAAAAATTCTAATAGAACTTAAAAATTGTCTGGATTGAGAGAATCCTTAGATTCATCACGACTCTGAAATGAGTGCCCTTGTCGCAATAAAAGTCGAACACAATCAATAGATGCATTAAGACGGGTAACATATGCACTTCTTACTTGTAGAAAACTGATTGACTAGGTGTTTGACACCCATTTTTTGGAGAATAAAATTTTTGAAATAGTAATTGATGGGAGAATGTGTGGTTGAAATGAAAAAAGAGAATAAGAATGAGATGAGAATGGGTGCCAAACAATGGCTGAATGTGTTGGTCTTGATTCAACAGAACTTCGCATTTAATGCGAGTTTTATTATGTACACTATCATGTTCTCCAACATGAGTATGAAATTTTTTTTATTTTTCCAATATGTAAAACCTTTGACAACAAAAGACACACATCCACCTTACTTTCCAGAACTTGTTTTGAAAAGATAACAATACAAGCAATAAACAGCATCTTTTTCTACACTGTACTCCAATCAAGAACTGAACTCTTTAAACCAAAAAGAATTAAATCGTCTAACTTTTACTCCAAATTGCCTTTTTGGAAAGTCATGATCATGTGGCTGACAAGGACCCATTAACATATATGCTCTTCGAACTTGATCTCGGATGTTTGCATTGTAATTCAAAA